TATTTTTACCATTGTATGTTACAGACTTCTTTTCCCGGGCTGCTTTCAGGATCTTCTCTTTGTCACTAAGACTTGTAAATTTTACTATTAGGTGATGGGGTGTGGACCTATTCTTATTGATTTTGAGGGGGGTTCTCTGAACCTCCTGGATTTTGATGCTTGTTCCCTTTGCCATATTGGGGAAATTCTCTCCAATAATTCTCTCCAATATACCTTCTGCTCCCCTCTCTGTTTCCTCTTCTTCTGGAATCCCAATTATTCTAATGTTGTTTCGTCTTATGGTGTCACTTATCTCTCGAATTCTCCCCTCATGGTCCAGTAGCTGTTTGTCCCTCTTTTGCTCAGCTTCTTTATTCTCTGTCATTTGGTCTTCTATATCGCTAATTCTTTCTTCTGCCTCATTTATCCTAGCAGTGAGAGCCTCCATTTTTGATTGCACCTCATTAATAGCTTTTTTGATTTCAACTTGGTTAGATTTTAGTTCTTTTATTTCTCCAGAAAGGGCTTTTATATCTCCCGAGAGGGTTTCTCTAATATCTTCCATGCCTTTTTCAAGCCCGGCTAGAACCTTGAGAATCGTCATTCTGAACTCTAGATCTGACATATTACCAATGTCTGTATTGATTAGGTCCCTAGCCTTTGGTATTGCCTCTTGTTCTTTTTTTTGTGGTGAATTTTTCCGCCTTGTCATTTTGTCCAGATAAGAGTAGATGAAAGAGCAAGTAAAATACTAAAAGGGTGGCAACAACCCCAGGAAAATATGCTTTAGCCAAATCAGAAGAGATCCCAAATCGTGAGGGGGGAGAAAGGGGATAAAAAGAGGTTCAGAAAGAAGAAAAAAAAAAAAAAAGAAAAAAAGAAACAATTAAAAAAAGAAAACCAATAAAGAAAAAATATAAAAAGGAAAAAAATATATATATATTAGATAAACTAGTTAAAAAACGTTAAAAAAGAAAAGGGTAAAAGTTAAAAAAAATTAGCAGAAGAAGAAAAATAAATTGAAAAAGAAAAAAAAATTAAATTAACTGCAAGGCTAAAGAATCATGGGGAGAAAGCCATGAGTTCCGTGCTTTGCTTTCTCCTCCTTTGGAATTCCGCTGCTCTCCTTGGTATTGAAACTGCACTCCTTCGTAGGTGAACTTGGTCCTGGCTGGGCTTCTTGTTGATCTTCTGGGGGAGGGGCCTGTTGTAGTGATTCTCAAGTGTCTGTGCCCCGGGTGGAGTTGCACCGCCCTTACCAGGGGCTGGGCTGAGTAATGTGCTCGGGTTTGCTTTCTTGCTTTCGGGAGCTTTTGTTCCCTGAGCGCTTTCCGTAGAGTTCTGGAGGGCGGGAATGAAGATGGCGGCCTCCCAGTCTCCGGCCCGGAGGAGCCGAGAGCCCGGGGCCCCTCTCCTCAGTGCGCCCTCAGAGAACAGCGCCGATTTACTCCCGTCACCCTGGCCTCCGGCCGCGCTCCGAGCTGACCGAGCCTGCGACCGGTTCAAGGTAACCCCGAGCTGAGAGTCACTCCTCGGCTCTGTCTCTGTAGCCGGCTTCCCTGTTCTAATACCTGTAAGCTCTGCGACACTCAGACACCCCCGATCCTTCTGTGACCCTGCGGGACCTGAGGCCACGCTGACCCTGCGTGGGCTTCACCCCGGTTAAGCCTCTGGAGTGATGTCCCTCAGCGGAACAGACTTTTAAAAGTCCCGATTTTGTGCTCCGTTGCTCGCCGGGAGCCGGCCCCTCCCCCCGCGGTCTATCTTCCCGTCGCTTTGGATTCACTTCTCCGCCAGTCCTACCTTTCAGAAAGTGGTTGATTTTCTGTTTCTAGAGTTGCTGTTCTTCTTCTCTTCGATCTCCCGTTGGATTTGTAGGTGTTTGCAATCTTTAGATAAGCTATCTAGCTGATCTCCCGCTACCTGAAGTAGTCTCAGCTGCTACTTCTCCGCCATTTTGACTCCTCCTCCTAAATAGTATCTTTTAATGAGGAGATAATTTATTTTCAATAAGATCCAACTTACCAGTTTTTAATGGCTCGTGAATTCTCTAAGAATTCCTTGCCTGCTCCAAGGATATGAAGATATTTTTCTAAGCCTTCTTTTAGTAGCTTTACGGTTTCAGCTTTTATGTTTAGATTTATGATACATTTCAAACTGGTTTCTATGTAAAGTATGAGGAAGGGGTTGAGGTTATTTCATATAAATATACAGTTGTTCCAAAAGCACTTGTTAAAAAGATTTTCTCTTCCCAATTCAATTTCTTTTGTGTCTTGTCAAAAAGAAGTCATTTGACCTTATACATATGAGTTTACTATATGGATCACCTATTTGTCTATCCTTTTGCCAATATCACACTTTCTTGATTACTGTGGCTTTCTGTAAGTCTTGATGTCAAGTAGGGTTAAGTCCTTCAACTTTGTTCTTTTTAAAGACTCTTGGTTTTTCTAAGTCCTCTGGTTTCCAAATATATATATATATATATATTTATTTTAAGGCTTTACCCATTTATTTGACAGACAGAGATCACAAGTAGGCAGAGAGGTAGGCAGAGAGAGAGGGAAAAGCAGGCTCCCCACTGAGCAGAGAGCCCGATGTGGGGCCTGATCCCAGGACCCTGGGATCATGACCTGAGCCAAAGGCAGAGGCTTTAACCCACTGAGCCATCCAGGTGCCCCTCCAAATGTATTTTAAAATCAGTTGGCCAATTTCTTCAAAGTCTATTGGGATTTTGACTGGTACTGAATCTATAGATTAATTTGGAAAAATGTGCCCTCCTAATTATACTGAATCTGAATATTCCATGGCACACCTCTCCACTTACTTAGGTTTTCTTTAATTCCTCTCAACAATATTTTATAGTTTTTAGTCTTAACATCTTTCATTCAATTTATCCATAAGTATTGGATGTTTTTTAATCTTATAGTAAATGGTGTTTTTTTCCTAAGTTTAGTTTTCTAATTACTCACTGCTAGTAGATGGAAATATAATCAATTTTTTTAAATTTATTTATTTGAGAGAGAGGCAGTGAGAGAGAGCATGAGCGAGGAGAAGGTCAGAGGGAGAAGCAGACTCCCCGTGGAGCTGGGAGCCCGATGCGGGACTCGATCCCGGGACTCCGGGATCATGACCTGAGCCGAAAGCAGTCGTCCAACCAACTGAGCCACCCAGGCGTCCCTATAATCAATTTTTTTACATTGACTTTCTATTCTGCAACACTGCTATAAAGTCATGTATCTGTTCTAGGAGTATTTTTTGTAGATTCCTTAGGACTGTCTTTACATAATCATGTCGTCTGCAAATAACAACAGCTTTACTTCTTCCTTTCCAACATTTATGCCCTTTTCTTCTTGTTATGTTATACTGGCTAAGACCTCCAGTACAATTTTGAATTGGGGTAGTGAAAAGTGGACACCTTTGGTTGTTCTCAATATTAGGTAGGAGAAATACTCTAAAATTTAAACTTTCAGTATAATATTAGTTACAGGGTTTTTGTAGGTGTTCTTTATCAGATTGAAGAAGCTTCTTCAACTCCTAGTATATTGAAAAATGTTATAAAAAATGGGCACAGTATTGTCGAATACTTTGTCTGCAGCTGTTGAAATGATCTTATAATTTTCTTTTTTATTTTTTTTTAAGATTTTATTTATTTATTTGACAGACAGAGATCACAAGTAGGCAGAGAGGCAGGCAGAGAGAGAGGGGGAAGCAGGCTCCCTGCTGAGCAGAGAGCCCGATGTAGGGCTTGATCCCAGGACCCTGGGATCATGACCTGAGCTGAAGGCAGAGGCTTTAACCCACCGAGCCACCCAGGCACCCCTAATTTTCTTTTTTAAACTGCTAATATGGTGAAATATGTTGGTTGATTTATATATTAAATGAATCTGCACTCCTAAGATAAACCTCAATTGATTGTGGAGTACTCTCCTTTTTACATACTGCTGGCTTCAATTTGGTAATAATATTTTGTTAAAGATGTTTTCATCCATGCTTATGAGAGAATTTGGTTATTGATTTTGTTTTCTTGTAATGGCCTTTTTTGTTTCTCTATCAGGTTACAGTAGCCTGATAAAATGACTTGGAAAGTGTTCCTTCCTCCTTTATTAAGAATTTGTCAGGTTGTTATTATTTCTTCCTTAGGTATATGATAGTACTCTCCTCTGAGCTTACAGTTTTCTTTGTGGAATTTAATTACAAATTTAATATCCTTAACAGACTTAGGACTATTTAGATTTTCTATTTATTCTTAGGTCAGTTTGGCTAATTTGTCTTTTCTTTTTTTTTTTTTTAAAGATTTTATTTTTAAGTAATTTCTACACCCCACATAGGGCTTGAACCCACAACTTCAAGATCAAGAGTTACACGCTCTACTGACTGAGCCAAGCCAGGCAGCCCTAATTTGTATCTTCCAAGGAATTTGCCTATTTCATCTAGGTTGCCAAATTTATTAGCAAAAAGTTGCTCATGATATTCCCTTATTATCCTTATAATATTGCAGGGCCTATAGCAATGCCCTTTCTTTCATTTGTGTTTTTTTTTTTTTTTAAGAAGATTTTATTTATTTATTTGACAGAGAAAGAGACAGTGAGAGAGGGAACACAAGCAGGGGGAGTGGAAGAGAAGCAGGTTTCCTGCTGAGCAGGGAGCCTGATGCGGGGCTCGATCCCAGGACCCTGGAATCATGACCTGAGCCAAAGGCAGATGCTTAACGACTGAGCCACACAGGCGCCCTTCATTTGTGATATTAATAATTTGTGTTTTCTTTCCTTTTGTCTTGATCAGGATTTCTAGGGGGTAATTAATTTTATTGTTTTTTAAAGAACCAAATTCTAGCTCTTTGACTTTCTTGATTTATTTTTTAAAAAGTATACTGTAGATAAAATAAATGCCTCTATATTCCCTTCCCTAAGCCCACTCCTCTCCTTCTGTTTCTGTAGTTTCATGTATACCATCACCCTACCATTTATATATTAAAATAATGCTAATTTCTGCTACTCTACTAGGACGTCCCATTTACTCACCACGTTTCCTGCTTCTGCAGCCAGCCGGGCAGCATAGCGAGCTATAAGTCGGTGTTCCTCATCCAGTCGGCTGGGACTGTCCAGGACACTGCCAAAGAGAAAAAAATTCAACAGGTGTCTATTAAACATTCCCTATCCTTGCTTTTCTCTTAGAAAGAACTGATGGGAGAAAGTTTGTAAAAAAGTATGGTCGCAAAAGAAACAGAGGCCTGGGTCATAGATACTAATGGTCTTCTGAGAAAGGTGGTTTAGAGAAATGATGAGACCACACGTGCCCTTTCTCTTCAGCAGCATCCCCCCTGCTCCTACACCATCAGAAGGGGGCACTTCTTTTTGAATGCAAGGTCTGGGAAAAGACAGAGCATCTGCAAAGTCTGAGGGGAGGGAGGATTTCTAATCAAATGTTTTGGGAAAATGCATAACTTTTAGACATAGGTCTTGAATTTAAAAAGACCAAGAGAAAACTAAAGCATCACAAAAAACGGAGGGCTGAAGGAAAGTATGCTTAACACTGGGCAAACAAAACTGAGGAGCTCAAGCAAGGGCAGGTCCAACCTACAGTAAAGTTGGAGATGAATCCATGGTATCAAACATTCGCTTTCATGCTTCTTTTCTGTCTTTTACCATGTTTGTTCCACAATTATAGCCCCATTTTCGAGTGAATTAATTCAGTCTATTACTCTTTCCTAAGAGTACCAGCACCCTAACTTTAAGGTCTTTAAGACCTACGTAGGTGGGCTCTCAGATGCTGCTGTGCCTGGATGAAGCGTTCTTGAGTAGCAGGCCAGCAGATGAAGCGTTCTGGAGTAGCGGGCCAGCTCTGTGCATACGTGGTACAAGGACCTTTCGATTGGATCATGAAATAACTGACTCCTTTGGTTTAGCATGTTACACCAACTCTCATTCACCCATCGCAGGGCACTCCCCGATCAATAGGGACTGTGGCTACAGAATTGTTTGTTGAAGTCTGGCAGGTGTTTTAAGGTAACAGAGGTGATGATGACTGATCACAGATGGGTGTCGTGGCCTGCTTCTACTGTGGCCCTCGTTTCTTGGCCTTCCAAAAACTTCTGCATGGAATTTAGCAACATGATGAGTAATACAAAAAAATTTAAGGACATGAGTCCAATACCCATCAAATCTTGTAATAATTACTTGGGGGAGGGAATCCAGGAAGGAGGAAGTTAAACTGATAGAGCTGTGTCTGACCTTTTCATGTATAGAATCAACTGGATTCTTCCTAGATTTTTTTTTCACCTTTCTCTGTTTCTATCGTTGTGGCTACTTCTTTAAGATTTATTTGGTCTTTCCTCTAGGATGGATTTTTTAAAATGTGCTTTCTTTTGCCTGTGCCACTTCTGAATACTTTATAATTTGAGGTATGCAAACGTGAGTCTGTATCATCATCCTCTAACAAGATGATCTTGTAATAAGAATATGCTACCATCAGTCAGCTTTAACACACTAGAGTCAAGGCCCCAAGGTCAAGGCTGAACTATAATATTCGTGCCTTAAAGTTGTTTGTTGGAAATAAGAGAACTACCTTTATCTTTAAAAAAAAAAAAAAGAACATTTACTTATACAAGTGGATAAAATTAAAGAGGGACTGGCAACCTAAGAAGTGAGACTTAGAGCGGCTGCCCTTTGTATTGGCGAGGGATATAACTAAAACTTCATTTTTTCCTCTGTGCAAAAAGGCTCCCCTTCTTCCACCATGTTCCAACTCCCTAGGAAGGTTAATTCTACTTGTCATTTATATACCCAAGTGTGGACAACATGGTTGCTTTAATTGGCTATGCTTTCCAGCCAGAAACTAGAACTTTATGTTGATGAGAGGTTTTAAGGTCGATGAGAATTAAGAGGAAAATTAGAAAGGTTCCTTATTTTTCCGCTTGAGCTTTCATTTTCAGAATTAGCCAGGAAATTTCTGCCTTCTTTGAGGAAGCATGAAGCTCAGTTCCTTACTACAGATCAAGAAGAGATGGAGTACTCACCCAGTCCTCGCGTTCTGCCCGGACTCTCGGCCACCAGTTCCTGCTCAGGAAGCCTAAACCCTAAGCCAGGATGCTTAAGGACCTTAGCTAAACCTCCCACAAATTTTTGGGAGCTGAAATATCAGGTTGCAATCTCTGCCACCATTCTGCTTCTATTTTCACCATGGAAACTTTTAATCACCTGGACAACTGCCCTTACTGATGAGAAGTGAGCTGTCCTGCCAGGGATGAGACAACTTTATTCCTAGAGACCCACGGAGCCGGGACATACTGCACAGAAATACTGCTGGAGAGACACTCTTGGGTGACATGATGCAGTTATTAGGCCTCTCCTTCCTTCCTGGAGGAAAAGCCTGTTAAATGTACTTGGGAAGTAGGAAAGTAGACTTTAGAGTTAAATAAATGCCCCAAAATACCAATACTATTTAGTCACACTGGCTAAACTATGGGAAATGGTATGAAATATAATACAGAAAATAGTCCTTTCCAAATATGTATTTTTTCACATGATTATTTATTCTTGTCATCACAGGAAATAAAAACAAGGTCAGCTCACCTTCTCACGAAGCCAAGGCATGGTCTGGGCAAAACTAAGATCAAAATGTAAGGCTCCAGACTCCCTTAAGTGCTTCGTTAATAAATTAGGATTCTTCTCTAAGAATAAGAGTCTATCTGCTGCTATGTAGAGACTGTGTAGAGATTACTTTAATTTTCCCTGCTGTTCTCCCTGCAGACCGGTGGTAGGTAAGCCTACCTACCAAAGTGGATAGGTAGCCTTGGGTCTACCTGAATATAACAGCATTTAGTTTGGTATTAATTCTTTTAAAGGGTTAACTTTGCTGTAGTTCGTGGTTATCCAACGTTTTTCTATCCTGACCCACTGAGGAGTCAGGCATATTCCCACATTAACAGTGAGTCACTACCAGTAGTTTTCAGAGCAAGGGGAATATGGAGTTATTATAACGTGTCTAATGATCACATGTGGAAGCACAAATCATTTGGGAAAAGTCTCCCTCAGGTGGCAATGACCCAGCACCACTGTTGCAAACCACTGGTTTAAGTAATCAACAGTGATAGATTCGGGGGAAGAGATGAAGTTGTAACATGCAGAGATTTACAGCGCGATGGTATCAAAGTTTAGACACAGTGAGATATCTGCGGGATGATCAACCCTACGCTCTGAATGTCAACAGAAAGGTTTCGATATTTAGTCAAGAACGATCAGTGAGAGGTTGCCTCAAACAGCTCTGTGAATGTGCATCTTGGGGACAGCATAGCTGCTGGAGATTTACATGGCCTTTCAGTGTAAGCTCAGGGACGTGAACTCCACTTCAAAACAGCATTTCTGACTCTATGTTTAGGTAAGTGCCTGGGCTTGGCAAGGCTTCTTCTCTTTCAGAAGTTAATGCTTTAGCAATTATTTCAACTCTGCCAAAGGTAGCCGGTAGCGTCTCAAGAAAAACCCCCCATGCAGAGCTTTTTCCAGCTGGCAAGGCCAGGTAACAAGGCTCTCCCTCCCTCTGACCAGCCCGTGGCTGCCCGCCTGCTGCCGCTGCTCTACCACTGACCGTGCACAGTGCTGCAGACGGGCCACATAGGAGGCTATCAGCGCGTGCTCATCGGCCGAGTGACTGGGTATGTCCTGGCTATACTGTAACCTAGGAACAACGGAGGCAAAGACAGCAAGCACAACACACACACACACACAGAGCGAGAAATGAACATGGATTAAACTGGGCAAACTTCAAAGAAAAATAGAAAAAAAAAATCATGATAAGGAAAACAATAAAAAAACCCACAATGCATAATGGAATATGGTGTTAGACCATAGAAAATACATTTCACCAATCCTTTGAACAAAAGCGGTGTCTTAGGAAACAGCCTTCGCTGACTGACTCTTCAGCCTCTGAACAGGAGAAACTAAGGAGGGGTCACCAGGAAGCCTTGCCCACCAATCTTATCTAGGTTCTGGGCTCTGGGATGGATGCTCCTTTGGGGAATGCCCAATGGCAGGAAAACAGGCAGAGTGGGTCTATTTAACATCACCAAATGCCCCCTGATGTTTTAATAGCTTTTGTCTACAAGTAAAGAATTTTTAGGATTACTTCATGATACCAGTTAAACCCTTTTGTTTCTATAAGGACATTGCCTTTAGCATCATTCTATTTTCTCCCATAAAGCTGATACTCACACCAAACTTGTCAGAATTATTCCTCATTGTAAGACAACACTGCACACATTCGGAGGCTTTTATAGACATTCAGAACTGAGGTCTTTAAGCCCAAGAGTTTCTAAAAATGTTTTACTCCAGAAATGTTAACACATGCACAAAATGGAGAATAAATTAATGACTACTTTCCATGTACCCATCACCAAAGTTCAACAAAAACTAACATTTGTCAACTTATTGAATATATTCTTCCTTCACTCAACTTTTTGTCTAGAAAGAGATGGCTGAAGCAAATCCCAGACAACTTATTATTTCACTTGGGAATACTTAATTTACACAACTACAGTGCCATCATCACACCTAAAAAAATTAACAAGAAAATTTTAACTCAATCCCTCTGAAAATTTCCTCAAATCTTAAAAAACATCCATCTACATTTAGAATCAATATTCCAACAAGGTCCACACACATTGCATTTGGTTGATAATGTTTCTGTTCTTTAATCTGTAACAGTCCTTCCTTTTCCTTGTTTCTGTCATGTCATTTATTTGTGAAGAAAGCAGGTTATCTAGTAGCATACCCAACATTCTGGATTTAACTGTTTCCTTGGTGCCATTTAAGTTGTTTCTCTACACCCTGTGGCTACAGCTAGAGATCTGATTAAAGCTTTTGCTTTCATTTCATTTTTTGAGAAGGGGCTAGAATCTGTTGTAGGTAATATGGTGCACTTATACATCAAATAGGGGACACACAATGGAATAAAAATATTGCTCACTGGATTCAGACGTTATTGATTACATCTCTCCATTATAAAGTCCCCCATCAACTTTTCACCTAATGGATTTATCATTTACTGATGATTTTGACTAGATTCATTATTTCTTGGGTGGGGGGGGGCGGGTTTATGAAGACCCGGTTTCCAATTTTATCATCTTTTCTGCATTTATTAGTTTTCTCTCTTTGCTTATCTTGAAATATTAATAATTCAGAAAAGGTAAAACAAATGGTTGGCATTTCTTACTATTTAACAAATTTCAGAACAATGAATTAGTACCCTAGCAACCTCCAATGGGTACCAAAGAGTTTTCTTTTTTTAGTATCATTAAGAACTCATAGATTTTCATTTATCTGATTGCTACAATCATCTTTTTGATGCTCAAATTGTCCTATCTTTGGCCAGTGGGAGCTCCTGTAAGTAGGCTCCTGTGTTAATCTAATATAGCCATTAGATATCATCAGCTTCCTTGGTTGGCACAGTAAGATGCCCCAGTCTCATCTTGTGTATGTCCTGCCCCACTCTTGGAATCAACTATTCCTTCAAGGACTGCAGGTTCCTTTTACCAGGAAAGAGTGTTTAGAGGTCACAGTTAGCGTACTAGGGTGCTCCTTGTTCCTGGATGATCACTGTTTCTAGAATTTTTCAGTCGATAAAGCTAGGAAATCTATATATTTTAGAAGGAATAAAAACAGGTTCTCTCACTACTTTCAAACGCCATTCAATTTTCTGCTAGCTTGCATTGTTTTTTTAAGATTTTATTATTTATTTGAGAGAGAGAGCACGCAAGGACAAGCAGGGGGAATGGCATGCAGAGGAAGAAGCAGACTCTCCACTGAGCATGGAGGCCGATGCGGGGCTCAATCCCAGGACCCTGGCATCATGACCTGAGTGAAGGCAGACACTTAACCGACTGAGCCACCCAGGCACCCTGTGTGCATTTTTTTTTTTTAAAGATTTTATTTATTTATTTGACAGAGAGAGATCACAAGTAGACAGAGAGGCAAGCAGAGAGAGAGAGGGAAGCAGGCTCCCTGCTGAGCAGAGAGCCCGATGTGGGACTCGATCCCAGGACCCCGTGATCATGACCTGAGCCGAAGGCAGTGGCTTAACCCACTAAGCCACCCAGGTGCCCCTGTTTTTAATGAGGAATCACTTCAAAAATCTTATCTTTCTTCCACTGTATATAACATCTTTTTTCCTCTAGATGCTTTTAATACTTTTTCTTCATCACTGGTTTTCAGCAATTTGACTGTGATGTACCTTGGTATGGTTTTCTCTGTTTATCCTGATATAGTTTGTTGAATTTCTTGTACTTATGGGTTTATAGTTTTTATCAAATTTGTAAAAATTTACCTGGAAATTTGGAAAAAAATATTTCCTGAAATACTTTTTCTCTCTTCCCTCTTTTCCTTCCTCCTCTCCTCTCCTCCTAATCCTGTTAGGCTGGTTGCCACTGTCCCAGAAGTCTTGGAGGTTCTGTTCATTTTTCAGCATTGTATTTTGGATAGTTTGTATTGCTATGTCTTTAAGTTCAGTGGACTTTTTCTTCTGTAATTTCTGATATACTGTTAAATCCATTCATAGGCTTTTTCATTTTGGGTATTATCTCCTTCAACTCTAGAAGTTCTATTTTTTAATTTAAGACTTTTTGTCACTGAAGTAGAATATGTATGCAGAAACTTCCAATTATGTTTATAGGTGGTTCTTTTTTATTTCAATTTTTTTCCTCATTATGCTAATATTTTCCTTTACATTTTTGGTATTTATTGTGCTTGGGTTTTCATTTAAGATTTTTATTTATTTATTTGAGAGAGAGAGAGAGAATGAGAAGGGAGGACAGGTGAGGGGGGCAGACTCCCTGCTGAGCAGGGAGCCTGACATGGGGCTCAATCCCAGGACCTGGAGATCATGACATGAGCCAAAGGCAGACACTTAACCCACTGAGCCACCTAGGTGCCCCCTCTTATGGCTGTTTTGAAGTTCATCTCTGTTCATTGCATCATGACTGTTATTTCTGAATCTGTTTATATTGACTAATTTTTTTTTAAGATTTTATTTATTTATTTGACACACAGAGAGAGAGATCACAAGTAGGCAGAGAGGCAGGCAGAGAGAGAGGAGGAAGCAGGCTCCCTGCTGAGCAGAGAACAGAGGCCCTACTGTGGGCCTTATCCCAGGACCCTGAGATAATGACCTGAGCCAAAGGCAGAGGCTTAACCCACTGAGCCACCCAGGTGCCCCGACTAATTTTATTCTGGTTGCAGAACATAATTTCCTGCTGCTTTCTGTGTCCTCTAAATTTTTATTGGATGATGGAAATTTTGAGGATTATGTTGTTGAATGTCTGGATTTTGTTTTCTTCTAAAGGATCTGGTAGCTAATTTACTTGTGGACGGATTTGTCCTTTTGAGGCCTATGTTAAAGTTTCATTAGTACAGATGTAGGGTAACTTTTATCTAGGGCTATTTTCACCCTGCTCCTAAACTGTGGCCTGTCTGGGGTCTTTACCGAATGCTCCTAGTGTTTGATGATGTCACCACTCTGGTTGGTTGGAACTCAAACAACAGGCTGAGCTTGCGTAGCTTTTCCACTTTCCAATCTCTGGGACCTGTTCTTTCCCAGATAGTTGTTCTTTGGTGGTCTTGTGAAATCTCGTTCTATGCAAATGTAGCTTAGTTAAGGGACCTATGTGCAGGTTTATGGAGCTCTTTCCTGCATTCTTCCTTCCCTCTGGTGTTCCTCTTAGCAAATTCCAGCATTCCCAAACTCCAATCTCTCTCTCCTTATTCTCAGCAAATAGGGCTTACCCTGCTTGTCTCTAGCACTAGACTTTAGTAAATGCCTCCCAGTAGAAAGCCTGGGCAATGATTGGGCTCTCCTCATTTATTTCCTTTCCCGCAGAGAATGGTCCTGCCCTACTTAATGTCTAATTTCCGAAAACAGTTGCTTAGTTAGAATAGTTTTCTAGAAGTTTATAGTGGGAGAACTGATCTGACATCAGCTACTTCACCATGACCAGAGGACGTTCTCTCTGTAGTAACTCAGTTTTTTAAAGAAGATTTTATCAATTGATTGCTTTTAGAGAGTGTGCACAAGCAAGGGTTGTGCAGGGGAGGGGGCGGAGGGAGAGGGACAAGGAGAGTTGGTGCTGAGTGTGGAGCTGATGCGGGATAGTGGGGGGTGGAGGGGTTAGGTCTCATGACCCTGAGATCATGACCCTGAGATCGTGACCTGAGCAGAAATCAAGAGTTGGCTGCTTAACCAGCTGAGCCACTCAGGCGCCCCTGTAGTAACTCACGTTTATACTTCTGTAAAGTATTGGTCTATTTCAAACTAGAAATCAGAACAAAACAAAACTGCTTCTTCAGAAAACAGACTGAAAAGTAGCAGTGTTATAGAAGGCCGCCATAAGGGCTTCAACTTTTACGCCGCTATGAGAAGGTGCTGGTGGGTTTTGAGCAGATGCAGGGTATGCTCTAACTTCTCCTTTAATAAGATCATCTGCACTATGGAACGTGAAGTGTCAGAGAGTGGGGAAGAAGCAGCTAATTAGAAGCCTCCTACAACATTCCAGATGAGAGGAAAGAGTGGCTAGAAGGACAGTAGCTGCTGTTGAGGTGCTAAGAGATGGCAGTATCCTGGGCAGACTTTTACAGTGTTTTTGGAGAAAGCTGATCTAATGATCTGATGCCTTAGATGGGAGAAGCATC